ATTTCTTCCTCATGTTTTGTTTAGCCTCGTAACCAAACTTTAATAGGCAGTAACTTTTCAAGTATGGGTTAATTTTAAACAATTCTACACATCTAATGAATCTCTTGAGGCTTTAGTTTTGCTTAATTAAGTAGCAATAAAATGTGCCTTAGAGATGGAGATTGAGGATCTCACAGGAGCTAATTTTATAAACTCCATAACTGTTTGAAGATGCATGAATGTTAAAATTGAATACATTTTCAGATATGCCAGCTGTTAGTACACAGTGTTCCTGTGAATTACTAACAGTAGCTAGAATGTGCTATAATACTAACACTTAAGTAAATATTTGCTATGCTAAAATAATAAAGTGTTAGCTAATATTTTAGTAAAATCATGATAAGCGCATCAAACTCAACTGATGAATTTTTAATTATTTTCAGATGCCTAATTGCAAATTCTCCCATCTTTTATGCTTTATCTTGTTTGATTTGAAGGTGGATTACAGCGGAGGCTTTGAACCATTCAGTATGGTTCGTTTCAGTCAGAAATACATGGATAGAGTGGCTAATCCAAAAGATATTATACATTTTTTCAGGCATCGGGAACAAAAAGAGAAAAATGGTAAATGATTTTTAAAAAAAGTATACAATTTTCAAATTTGTTGTAGTAAGTATTGTCACTAGGAAAAATAATATTATCCATAGAAGTTTTTATTTTTTGTGCTGGGATGGGTGAGTAAGATGAAGAATAAGTATAATTACAGGTAGTCCTCAGCTTGCGACCACAATTGAACTCCAAATTTGAAGCAGGAACGGTTATTAAGTGAGTTTTGCCCCATTTTATGACCTTTCTTCTATATGACTTCAAGATAGAATCAAATTAATTTTACTAACAACGAACATCTTGCACATAACTGAGCATGCAGAAAGATACAATATTTCCTATTTATATTAACCATGTTGAACACATTCAAAATGTAGAGAATAAGAAACTCATTTATAGGATCAGTAACTCCACTTACTGATTGATAGATTTTCATGGCTTTGGATCTCAGAAATTTCCCCCACTACATTATTTCTGTCATTTTCATGCTACCCAAAAAAAATTATACTCCGATGTTGGTCCTTCTTAAATCTCCCACTTCCATGCAATTAATATGATTCTTCCTGAAAACAGCTGATTTGTTCTGATAATGTTTTTTTTTTTCACAGTACACCAGCCTATTTGATTGCTATAAATTGTAATAGTCATTTGCCATAAACCCTTACCTTTGCCTAAAATCATCTGGTAAAGAATCCTATTCAACTATACGCGATGTTTAATTCAGTGTCCCCGTATTTAACATTCCTTTGAAATATGTGTTTACATGTGAAATTACAGTACCATTTCATTACAGCTGATTCTTACCATGGATTGCATTCTTTTTCATAAGGCACGAGGAAGAATAATTACGTCCAGGGCATTCTTTTCCATTTATGCAAGATGAAATGGTGGGGTGCTTTTTAGCACTAGCAGATTATGTTAGTCCTTGTTTCACTGATGGTTTCAACATTACTTTGTCACCTGGTTCAGAGCACCTTGTTTGTGTGTCCAATGATATTGAGAAATATGCCCCAGTTTTTAAAAAGAAAATTATTAATAGCTGATAAACATTCTGTATTAAACACCAGATAACAGATAATCAGAGTTGGAAGGGACCTTGTAGGTCACCTAGTCCAACCCCCTGCCCAACCGGAAGACCCTACACCATTTCTGGCAGGTGGTAGTTCAGTCTCTTCTTGAAAGCTTCTAGTGATGAAGCTCCCATAACTTCCAAGGGCAATTTCTGTTCCATTGGTTGATTGCTCTCACTGTCAGAAAGTTTTCCTTATTTCCAGGTTAAATCTTTTCTTGTTCAGTTTCCATCCATTGTTCCTTGTCTGGCCTTCAGGTGCTTTAGAAAATAGCTTGAGCCCTTCCTCTCTGTGGCAGCCCCTCAAATATTGGAAGACTGCTCTCATGTCTCCCCTGGTCCTTCTCTTCACTAGACTAGTCATGCCCAGTTCCTGCAACCGTTCTTCATATGTTTTAGTCTCCAGTCCCCTAATCATCCTGGTTGCTCTTCTCTACTTTTTCTAGAGTCTCAATATCTTTTTTATAGTGTGGTGACCAAAACTGGATGCAGTACCTTAGGTGTGGTCTTACTCAGGCTTTATAAAGTGGTATTAGTACCTCCCTTGATCTTGATTGTATCCCTCCATTAATGCAATTTAGGATTGCATTAGTGAGCACCAGTAAGGTTTGCTGAAGTGGAAATGAATCTAAAAAAACATTCCTGATCATTTGAAATGAAATTGGTACAAGGAATGATTATTACAATGACATGTGTATTAGGAGAAAAAACCATGATCTCAAGCTATATTAAAGGCTACTCTAGAGTTTTTTGTGTTTTTAACAGGCCCTTTGAAAATCCAATCATTATTTTGAACAATTGTCTTTGCATTTTAAAGTTAGAACAAATTAATATTTTTGAACAAATCGTTAACCCAGTTCTGAGTCTTAGGTTTCCTAATTGAGCGTGCGAGTAAAATGTATTCAGTAAGACTGAAAACTGAATGAAAGTAGAAAATCTGCAGTAGGAACCCGTGTTATTTTAATTAGTATTGTTTGTTGAAAATTATTATTTATTTTATCTTTCTGTCTGTATTTTTAAAATGTAGAACTTCTGTTTTCCATGAAAAACATATACCTGTCCAAAAACCTTCTGTTAAAATTCACTAAACTTTTAAAATAAAACGTAACGTATTTTCTGTGTGTCTGTCAGATATATGTTTGTGTGATTTTTTTTTTTTAAAAAAAACCTCTTCATAATACTGATCATTATAGCAAGCATTTCCTTAAAATGTATTAAAACGTATTTTATATTTATTTATTGATGGTTTTAGAAGACGAAGTTAACTTCAGAAAACTGGTCCACAGGCCTGCAGCTGAGGGAACAACACTACGGGTAGAGGATTTAGTAAAGCAATATTTCCAAACAGCAGAGAAGGTAAACATATTTTTCCAGTATTTATGACTAGGTTTAAAAATAATCATCAGACTAGGTCAGAGTTTCTCAACTTTGGCAATTTGAAGATGTGTGGACTTCAACTCCCAGAAATCCCCAACCAGCATTCCCCAGCTGGCTGGGGAATTCTGGGAGTCAAAGTCCACACATCTCCAAGGTTGAGAAACACTGGACTAGATTTTTAATTGTACGATTGGAGTTCCATTATTGGGCTTCTACATTTAAATGTTTGGCAGTGGCAGGTCTCAAAATTAATGAAGAAAAGACTAAAATATTAGCTAAAAAGTTAACAGAGAATCAGAAAAGTGAATTAGAAAGGGAAATGGGATTGCAAACTACAAGGAAAGTCAAATACCTAGGAACATGGTTAACTGTGAGGTGTTCCTCGATGAAAGAAAATAATTATATGAAACTGTTGCAACAAATAAAGAAAGACTTGGAATTGTGGGAGAAATTACAATTATCTCTACTAGGAAAAATCACTACGAATACAATGAATGTTCTACCTAAATTACTTTTATCTATTTCAAACAATCCCCATAAAATTGGATAAGAAGTTTTTTAAATAAAATTACCTTAACATTCATATGGTTAGGCAAGAAGGCTCAAATAAAATTAACAGCATTGCAGGATAGTAGAAGTGGAAGTGGCTTTGGACTCCCAGAATGGGAACTTTTCTATAACACTGTGGTTGGCTTGTACATCTAGAATACAAATCAAAGTGTAGAGTCAGCTATGCAACAGCTGACTTGAAACCATGCCTTGGTGTTAAATGCCAGCTGACTTTGGCAGCAGGTGCTCTTTTATAGTTAAGTTACAACAAAATTTGCAACTTTTTGTAGCTAAGTTGCTTTTTGTAGTTAAGCTTTCTGTAGCTAAGTTGCTGCAAAAGTTAATAGCAATAGCATTTAGACTTATATACTGCTCCATAGTGCTTTACAGCAGGGGTCCCCAACCGCCGGTCCGTGGACCGGTACCGGTCCGCGGAACAAGTCTTACTGGGCCGCTGGTTGCTGGGCGCCGCCATCTTTTTTTGGTAAAAAAGTGCTTCCGGTGAGCTTTTCCGGGTAGAAAGCTCACCGGAAGCACTTTTTCATCAAAAAAAGATGGCGGCGCCCAGTTGATGCCGGTACCGGGCCGCGGCACCCAGCTGATGCCGGTACCGGGCCGCGGCATCAAAAAGGTTGGGGATCACTGCTTTACAGCCTTCTCTGAGCAGTTAACAGAGTTGGCATATTGTCCCATCAATTTGGGTCCTCATTTTATTGACCTCGGAAGGATGGAAGGCTGAGTCAACCTTGAGTCAACCAGGATCGAACTGGCTGTGGGCAGAGTTAGCCTGCGATTACTGCACTTTAACTACTGCACCACCAGGGCTCTTAAAAAGAAATAACTAAATCTTAGGTAAAACTAATCCCGTGTTCATTTTAACCCTGCTTTCTTTTGTCTGATTAGTATATAAAATTAATTCAAATTGGCTTGCCTACAAGAAAGTGCAGCTTTCCCTTCTGAGCGAGAGGGGCATGGGGGAAGCCGTGCAAGAATTTGTGGACAAGGAAGAGAAGGACGCTATTGAAGAACTGGTGAAGTTCCAGCTAGAAAAGACCCAGCGATTTCTGAAGGAGCGGCATATAGATGCCGAAGAAGCCAAAATCGATGAGGAGGTTTGTATGGAATGATTTCATTCTTCCTGGACACATTCAAGAATTGAATCTTACAGATGTCACATCCTTGACAAGGGGAATGACTGGACCAGCTGCTTCCATTTTTTTTTAAATCTGAGTTGCTTTTGGCTGCATTCAGATGGTCAACTCCTTGTATAATGTACCAGAATACACTGGTAGTCCTTGACTTACCACCTTTATGAGCTCAAAATGTCCGTTGCTAAGCAAGGCGGTTGTTGAGTGAGCTTTGCCCCATCTTGCAACCTTTCTCGCCAGAGTTGTTAAGGGCAGGGGTCTCCAACCTTGGCAACTTTAAGGCTTGTGGACTTCAACTCCCAGAATTCCTCAGCCAGCTTTGCTGGCTGAGGAATTCTGGGAGCTGAAGTCCACAAGCCTTAAAGTTGCCAAGGTTGGAGACCCCTGGTTAAGGGGATCACTTCAGTTGTTAAGTTCATAGCACGTTTGGCAAATGAATCCGGCTTCCCCGGTGGAGTTGCCAACAGAAAGGGAGGGAGGAAAGGGGTTTGAAAGAGCAGCGCGGCAGCTTGGAAATCAAAAGTGCATTCCATACATAGTTTTTCAGAGATAGAAACTAGGTGACTGAAGGTTCTGCCGCGCAAAGATCAAACTGGAGAGCATGATTGATGACTCTTGGCTATGGATGTGTCCCACTGGAGAATATGAATTACGATACACCCAGGCAGTGCCGACACGTTAACTCCCAAATAAATCCTGTTTAATTTTGGAAGTTTGGCTTGAGACTCATGATTTAATTGGGGTAACTGCTGGAACTCTGATTGCTGGAATACTGACACTTTGCTTGTCAGAAGGTTGCTAAAAGTGATCTCCTGACCCCGGGACCCTGCAACCGTCATAAGTACTTGCCAATTGCCAAGAGTTCGGACTTTTGATCACATGACTATGGAAATGCTTCAGTGGTCATTAATTGTGGAAAAATGGCCATAAGTCACTCCCTTCAGTGTTGTTGTAACTTCGAATAGCCACTAAACAAAATGGTTGTTTGTTGAGGACTGTCTGTACTTGTATTTCAGCTACCCTTCCCCCCCACCTTCTCTTTCAGCAAGGAAAGAAGCTGCATTAAGCAGGTGTTCTTGTTTCATCTGCATATATTCATTGACCTCTTCCATTTCAATACAGGTGCAGCGTTTCAGAGAATCAAAAAAAAAGAACACAGTAGAAGAGGATGAGGAAGTTCGTGAGGTAGGCCGAAAACCGACAAAGAATCAGATGGGGCTTAACCTAACCTAACAGTGTGCTTCACTTCTCTTTCTAAAGCAGGGGTGTCAAACTTGATTTCATGAGGGCCGCATCAGGGTTGTGTTTGACATCAGGGGACAAGTGGGTGTGGCCTGGGGTGTATGGCATGGGTGGGTGTGGCCATCTCAATGTCCTGCAGACCTCTGCAAGCAAAAATGGAGCCTGGGAGCCATTTTCCCTGGCAGAGGCACTGCGGGCCGGTCCTTTGCTGTTTCCAAGGCAGCCCCATGGGCCAGATCTAAGCACCCTGAAGGCCAGATCCAGCCTGCAGGCCTTGAGTTTGACACCACCACCCCCGCTCTAAAGAAATGTAGACACACAGTTCCCTTTGTTTCAAATCAAACTTTACGCGCTGTTTTGCTGTCCTGTTTTCCTCCTTTCAGATTTAAGACCACTCATTTATTCAGCAGTAAACATCATCTTCCACCCCTTTGCTAATTTCCAGTCCAAGCATGGAGGAAAGTTTTGTGCTGCCCCATTCACACACACACACACACAGAAACTCACGCGTAACTGTGGTTCAGTGAAGTTATTAATGTTCCCCAGCAATTCCTTTCACCAAGACTCAGAACTGTCCGAAATACGTCCAGCCACAAGCGGGCCAAGATTAGTCTACAAGGCAATGGGCCAATATTCCATAAAATAATCAAAAATTTCTCAAATAAGTCCCCCAAACAAACTTAAGTCCACCAAGCAAAGCTTAAACAACACACAAGCTCACTTGGCAAGAAAAGTTCAGTGTCTCCAAGGCACAGTTCCAAACACAGTGAAGCACGACAATCAAACAAACAGCTAGAAAGCCAACAACATTGTTTCCAGCAATGCCTCCTTCTGCCTGCTGTAATAAATAGCCACCTTTCTGGTGCAGCCCATCAAAACAAGGTGGGGGTGTATTTCCTCCCGAGTACCTGGCTGATCTCCATTGCTCCTATCTTTTCTCTGCCCTGCTTGCTCTCGGATCAGGTGCAGAAGGCAGCTCCTCCTCCTCTTCTCTGGCCATGTGCCCCTGCAAACTTTCCCCTGCTGAAGCCTCCTCCAGTTCTCTTTCGGCTCCCTGTTCAGAGCCATCAATCAATTCCGTTCCTGGCGTGCCTCCCTTGAGCTGGCCATCTGAGGAAGAATCTGGGGGGTGATCCAAGGGAGACATCACAGGCTTTCAGATTTAAGTGAAATTCTCCTTTGTTTCTTTCCCTGCTTGCTTCTCTTTCTCTCAGGCTATCAACAGGGCCAAGGCCAGATCTCAGGAGACTGGTTATGCTTCAGCAATGAGTGATGAGGACCTGATGGATGTGACCACCTTTGACCAAAGAGTCAATGATGAGTCGGACGACTCTTTACCTCCCAGCCGGGGTAGCCAGAGAGGTCGGGCAAGAGGCAGAGGACAGAATGTCTCAACCAGGAGAGCATCTCGGCGAGGAAGAGGAGGCTAGTTTCTGTCCATCTTGGTGCAGTTTCTATAAAGTTGCTGTGGTTTATTGTTGGCTTACAGGTTGTCCCCAACAACAGTTCATTTAGCAACCATTCGAAGTTACAATGGCACTAAAAAAAAGTGACTTATGACCGTTTTTCACACTTATGACCATTGCAGCATCCCCATGGTCACGTGATGAAAATTCAGACGCTTGGCACCGAGAAGATTAACAGTAATAGTAATGCAAACTTTGTAAATAGTTGGACAGTGCTGAGGGAATTATTTGTTTAGCAGAGTGATGGCATTCATGAAAAAACTGTCCTTGTGTCTAGTTCTGGTGTGCAGGGCTCTATAGCGTCGTTTTGAGGGTAGGAGTTGAAACAGTTTATGTCAAGGATGTGAGGGGTCTGTAGGTATTTTCACAGCCCTCTTTTTGATTTGTGCAGTATACAGGTCCTCGATGGAAGGCAGGTTGGTAGTAACTCTTTTTTCTGCAGTCCTAATTATCCTGTGAAGCGAGTCTGTGCTGTTGGGTTGCAGAACCAAATGCTCAGTCTTTTACTAAAATCAACTAAGGTAATATCTTGAAAGCAGTGTGAGAAATCAGTTGTATCAAAGGAGGGGTGGTTCTCCTCTGCTGCGTATCCTGCACCATGTCTCCTTTTGGATTTTGCAAAGCAGGAATTGTTCTCCTACTTTATGATTCCACCAAGGAGCCTGGGACAAAATATACCTATTAAATCAAAGCAACATCTGGGGAAATTTATAATTTAAAGAGGGTTACGTGACCATCGGTTACCCTCAATTTCCAACCATTCATTTAGTGACCATTCAAGGTTACGCTGGTGCTGAAGAAAGTGATTCACTGCCAGTTCTTGTACTTAAGGCAGTTGCAGCATCCCTGCGATCACTTGATCAAATTTCAGACACCTTGGCAACTAGAACACCACTCTGTGCCAAGTGGCAATTTGCTTTTTTTATGGTAAGCTGCTGTTTAAAGTAAAAAAGCCAACTTTTTGGATCCCTTGGATTCAAACAGCCGTATTTTCAGAATCTAGCTTGCTAGAAAGCTTAACTATACATTTATAAAATAAACCCATAGAATGCTATACTTTAGTTCCCTGAAAGTGCAAGTTTAGAATAGCAATAGCAGTGACACTTAGACTTATATACTGCTACACAGGGCTTTGCAGCCCTCTCTGAGCGGTTTACAGAGCCAGCATATTCTCAACAATCTGGATCCTCATTTTACTGACCTCGGAAGGATGGAAAGCCGAGTCAACCTTGAGCCAGTGAGAATTGAACTGCTGGCAGCTGGCAGTCTAGCAGAATTCACCTGCAGTACTGCTTTCTAACCAGTGTGCCATCACAGCATCATATGCCAAAATCTGTCCACTCCAGGGTTTCTTGGGAAACAGCCGTAGTCCAGGAGGGTACGTGTTGTTCTCTTAACAGCCAAAGTTTCAGGATGTGATCAAGCTTTAATCTTTTTTTTTTTTGTCAATTTCATGCAATTTAGAGTGCTTTATTCTCAAAATTATTTTCACAAAATGAAATGTAATTTTGGAGCTCAATAATATTGTCTAACCAGGTACATTTGCACTAGGTGTCTGCAGGCCCTCCGGTGCCAGTCCTGTGTTGCTCCTTGCAGTCTGCACAAACCAGTTTGGGAACACTGTCCTAAAGGCTTAGTAATTGGCGAAGAAGTGAGAAAATGTAAATGTTTACTCTCTGTTGTATTATTTACAGGAAGTGCTGGCCGTGAACAGACTGGCAGCAGCAGAACATATAAACCTGCAACTACTACAAAAACTATGTCGATTTTGGATGGTAGGTTATTGTATGAGCTTTTATTTCAATTGGCCAGGGGCTTCCTTGGTTCACACAATACACTACTGCACATAGCACAGTAGATAGACATTACATTTGTATAGTTTGATAGGTCAACCCGAGATATTTTGATATATTCAGTAAATTGTTCTTAAACGAAACATAGTAAGCAAACAAATCGTCGTTTATGCACATCTTTAAATTGGATATAAATGTCTATCATAATGTAGAACGAAAGTTAACTCTCATGCTTTGCAGTAACAGTAGTTTATTTCAAAGTCTCATCAATTTATCATAATTGCTATATATTCTTACTCTGATGTTTTCTAGCTTTTAAGTCATCCAGACAGCAACCCTCCCGAAACATGTCTGCCAAGAATTATTCAGAGGTTGGTAATTATTTCATGATAAAAATCCAGCAATTCCCCCTTTTTTATGGGTGTCATGCAGCCTTTTCCAGGCAGGTTGGGGAATACTACAAATTGCCATCTCAGTGCATCTGAAGGACATCCATTGAATAACGCTAATTTGCTGTGTAGCAGACAGGGAGCATCTTCTATGAAGCCTTGAGGTGTGGCATTTGTTTTGTCCATCTGCTTAGCTTCCCCTCTCCCTGGAAAGACCTGGGACTGCTGAGGTCCCTGAGATATCAAAAGCATCTTTAGGTGACTTTATAGAAGGCGCACCCTTTTGTTGTGGCCTCTCGGCTGTTGAGCCTTCCAGCAGCCGAATCAGAGGAGGAAGAGGTGTGGGAGTCAGGGTCGGCATCAAGGCAACCTGAGAGCTACGAGGGAGAAGAGGGAATGGAGCTGGCAGAGAGACAGAGAGAGAGAGAGAGGCAGAGCCTGAGCCATCCATCAGCCCTCAGATGGAGAGTCAACAGCCTTCAGGTCTGGAGGTGGGTGATGAGGAAGAGGAGGAACAGGTGGGTCCAGTGCCTGATGCGCAGATGCGCAGAAGGCAAAGGAGAGGAGAGCAGTGGAAATCCATGGGCCGGTCCTTGGGATGGAAAGAGCCACCACTGCTAGCGAAGCTCCACTCTAGCTCTGGGGATCAAAGGCAGGGGGCGGAGATGAATAGATGTGGCAGACAACTATTCATCTCCCTGCCAGACAGACTTCTTAGCCTGTGGTGAGAGAGAAACTTTTTGCCAGGGCTGCTGGCGCTCCTAATAAAGGAATCTTTGTGTTAGCTTCAGAGGGTTTGTTGTGTTTGGGGAGCTGGGTCAGAACACCTTTCTTTGCAAAGAAGGCAAGTGTTTTATTACGTAAAAGCCTGAGACTCACAATACTGATTTTTGGATTGGGTAACGAGGCATACAGTTGGGATACAATAGAAGGCCAATGTGTTCAAATCTTGGTACCATCTTACCGTATTTATTCAAATAATTTACACGGCTGCCCAACTCTCAAATAGGAGTAAACGCACACGGGCAAGAAAGCATTTTCAAAATCCACAAGCTATTTACAGGAGGGGCTCTTCCAACTTCCTGGCCCAGTGTTGAAGTGCAGTGGGGTGAATGGAAGGGTCAGATTTACAAAGGCTTATAGACAATCAATTGGTCAGAGTCTTGAGCCCAGAATCCCAGCAGAGAGGTCTTTTCCCCCAAAAAATCAGGTGTCACTTTCCCAACAGAAGGTAACTCAAACTACAAACTCAACATAAATCAGTAAAAAAAAAAAAAAATTAGGGACAGAATTAGCCACCAATAAAAGCAAACATAAGGGATGTTTTCTTGTGCACATACAGATAGTTCATTTAGTGACTGTTCATTTAGTGACCATTCGACAGTACTGCAGCACTGAAAAAGGTGACTTATGACCGCTGTCAGGATTCCAGCAATCACCCTAATTAAATCATGATTCTCGAGCCAAACTTCAAAAAACTTCAAAGGATTTATTAGAGGCGACATACTGGCACTGCCCTGTTTGAAGCCAACTCTGGCATTCGTAATTTACAGTCCCCTGTGACCCTGTTTTCCCCCTCGTCCCTGGGTGTTTCATAAACCAGATTCTCCAATTGAACCCGTTCACGGGCTGGGTGTCATCATTCACGTTCTCCAATTAAATATATTCCCGGGCAAAAGCTCTGGTATTTTAGTTACAATCTTTTAAAGATAAGAGTTGGAATGTACTTTCAATTTCAAACTGCACTGCTCTTCCAGATTTCCTTCCTCCCCCCACTTTTTTTTTTAATGGCAACTACTAAAACAGGCATAGGAATGTTTTATGAGTTGACAACCGCTTTTCAAACTTATGACCACTGCAACATCCCCATGGTCACATCAAAATTCAGACGCTTGACAACGGGTTCATATTTATGACGGTTGCGGTGTCTGATCACCTTTTGCAACCTTCTGACAAACAACATCAGTGGGAAAGCCAGATTCACTAAACAACAGTGTTACTAAGTGAACTGCAAGGACTAATAACTGTCTTATTAATTCGATCACTGCAGTGATTCATTTAACTCTGGCAAGAAAAAAATTGTAAAACATGCAAAACTCACTTAACAGACATTTCACTTAGCAACAGAAATTTTGAACTCAACTGTGGTTGTACGTCGAGGACTAGCTATATTAAAAGTGCTGCTTTCTGGGCCTTTGCTGTGTCTCTTCCAGGTGATTGAAGATGATGATTCTAATATGGAGGTGTCTTTTTCCACTTCTTCTACAAATCAAAGGTTAGTAGAACTGTGATCTGTGGTTTGTTATTTATAAGAGGCCTGTCTAGGCCATTAGAGAAAGCATGGGCTGAAATGGCTTCTTCCCACAAGGTTAGGCATGCCAGTGGGAACTCATTTCCTTGAACAGAAGTGTGTCATGTCTACGGATGTTTGTGGGCATGCATACAGATCACATTGTGACCATATCACAAGCTGCTTTTGGAACTTTTCTTGAGTTTCAAAAGTAATTTCTCCTGTTCAGTGAAAGTTCTGATTCAAAAACTCAGTCTAAAACCCTCTTAAGTAAAAGTCATTTAAAGAACCATTATTATTTTATATTGTTACAGTTTGATTTTTGTTCTGCACTACTGAGCTGTGGTGGCGCAGTGGTTAGAATGCAGTATTGCAGGCTAATTGTCCAGACTGCCGGCTGCCTGCAGTTTGGCAGTTCGATTCTCACCGGCTCACGGTTGACTCGGCCTTCCATGCTTCCATGGTCGGTAAAATGAGGGCCGAGATTGTTGGGGGCAAGATGCTGACTCTGTAAAACCGCTCAGGGAGGCCTGTAAAGCACTGAGAAGCGGTATATAAGTCTAAGTGCTCTTGGTGTTACTATGTTATAACACAAAGTGTGAGTTCACTGCTTTTTTCTTTTTCTTTATGCCTCTTCTCTGTGCATTTAAAGTCAGCAATCCTATGTCCAGAATTACTTCCAAGGCTATATTTATCCTAAAAACCATTCTCACACAAAAGTGCAAACTGAAGTAGAGCAAAAATAATATTTTTTAAAAAAATACAACGAAGCACCGCTTGGTCATGCCTAAATCTATGGAAGGTTCTGATGTCAGGTGTTCTTGTAAGCCGTTGCTGAAAAGCTGCCTTTCAATGAATGCCATCCTAATTTATTCTCTTTCAACTGTAAGAATGCAGGACAAACCCATAACATATCATAAGTTGGAATTCCAATTCTTTGGGACACAGCAGTATTTCTGAAAGTGTGGCCCTGATCTGTGGGGAGTTTAGAGATAAGAGCCAACATTTGAACACTGGGCTAGAAACAATTCAGAAACCTGTACAGTTAATAGATGAATTCTAGTATCATGATTTCATTAACAGTGATAACATCTCCTTCTTATAATACTTAGATTACCAACCACATCAACGCAAAGCCAGACGAGCTCTCAGAGCCAAGCATCAAAAGGTGTTGCCTTTGAATCAGATGAGGTATAAAATCTCCCTTCCATCATGCTTCCTTTAATCATCATCATCTTCATTTAACGACCACATAATCCCTTGCAGGGTGGAGTCTGGGCAACTGAATGGAGGTTTAATGGCCGGATGCCCTTCCTTGTCGCCAATGCAGAGTTTTGTTCAGCAGATCTATTCTCAGTATGCCCAGAGAGAGAAATATCTGCCTCTATCTAGGATCAAACTCACAGCTGATTGTGAGGCGAGAGCTCCACCTCTAGGCCACCACACCACTCCATGCTTCCTTTAATCCA